GGAAAATGGTGTCAGATGAGACCCTCCTGCCCACCCTGCTCCTCTGTCTGCCTTTCCTTCAACCAGGGGCAGGATCCAGCCGAGCCGGAGGGCACCGAGGACACTGCAACCCCCGGCGCAGGCTGCCACACCACCCTGGCTCTGCCGGCCACAGCAGGGCAGGCAGCGAGGACCCGGCAGACCACGTCTGCCTCTTCCAGCCCTGCACCCCACGCTATGCCGGGGGGGAGTCCAGCTCCCCAGGCCCAGCCACGCATACCCCGGAGATCCAGGGTGCCAGTGGCTCCCTGGCACAGTGGGCAGCTCCAGCATAGCCACGACAGGGTATGACACCTGAAGCCAAGGCTACCACCTGCCATGGCTGCAAGGACAGCACCAGCTCCAGCACCAGCTCATGGGGGTAGCACCGGCCATCACGCCCATGTCATGGCAGTGGTTCACCATCACTGAACCAGTGCCATGCCAACACCATGTTAGTGTCACACCAGCGCCATGACAGCATCATGCCAGTGCCACACCAGCACCATCACACCAGTGCCACCACAGCACCACGCCAGCACCACACCAATGCCACAGCATAGCACACCAATGCCACCATTGCCGGGACACAAACAAGCCTTCTACTCACTAGTGCCTGGCTCCTGCATGAGGGCATGCGGGCGGATGAGTAGGGCTGGCCCGTGCAGCCCAGGCTGCCCTAGCTTGGGGACTGTCTCCCTAGAGCCAGCCAGACCCTGGCCTGGCAGGATCAGGCCTCCAGGCATCAGCAAGGGCTAGTGAGCAGGAGACAAGGAGCAGCTATGGCTACTGCGGGATGGCCATGCTGCTGGGCTAAGCTACTGGCTGGCTCCAGCCCTCACACTTACACGGCCCTGCTGCGGCCATCTCCCGAGCTCGGCCGAGGAGACATCACCACAGGAGCAGCTCTGAGACAGCTTCTCGAAGAGTGTCTCCCGAAAGATGTCCAGCAAGGACCAACCATGCTTGTCAGCCGCCCACCCCGGGCTCTTGGGCAGAGAGAAGAGGAGCTGTGAGTGCAGGAGGAGCAGGCGCCAGTACCGGGGAGCCATGGCTGGATGGCTGGAGAGGAGCTGCCCACCCCTGTGCCTGAGCCGTGCCACCCTCTGGGACATAGCCTGGGCACATTACTGTACGGACCCCTCCATGGATCACCTCTCCTGAGCAGCCCTGCCCGGCACCACACTTACATAGAAAGCCTGTTCCCGCAGGGATGGCGTGTCAGGCGGGCTCTGGTTGTAGGTGGAGAACCTCTTGTTCACTGTGGAGGCCTTGTTGACGGTGCTGGCTGCTGAGGGCTGGTCATCCTTGTCAAAGGGGCTGGGGAGGAGAGCAGGGAGGTGAGGGGTGTGTGTCAGCCTGGGGGTTCTCGACCCTGCTCTGCAGCAAGCAGGACACCAGGACCCCATCCAGTCCAGCTCTGGTTTTCCATAATTGCAGCCCAGTTTTGGGATGAGAGAGAGCCTGGGGCAGGCCACCTCTTGCTACACCATGCCGGGCATCACCAGCCCTACCACGTGCTACCAGCAATGCTTGCTGAGACACTCACTTCCAGGTCACCTCCAGACTGAGTTTGAGGGTGCCCAAGTCGTTGATATCCACAGCCACTACCTGCGGCAGAGCCGCAAAAAGGTCTTTGGTCTCGCAGGACACATTGCCCACCACAACATGATTAGCCAGGCTCTTTAGTTCTGTCACCTGGAGAAGGAGAGGGAGGAGAGGATGAGATGAAGCCATGGGCTTCACCTTATCCCTGCTGTTTGCACCCATGCTGTGTGCCAGGGCGTCACCACCACTAGATGGCCTCCTCCCACCCCAGTGAGGGTGAGGTTTAGGTGAGGTCCATGAGGGAAGCTCTGCCGGGATGCAAGGCGGTACATAGCCCACACCATCCCTGCCCCCTTCTACACTGTACCTTGATGGAGAGGAACTCGGTGATGAGGGGCAAGAAAACCATTTCCTCACTGTCCCACACCTGCTTGCTGTTCACCTCAATGCGCCCCCGCAGCTTCCACCGCTGCCGTCCATACTTCATGAAGATCTGGGGATGCAGAGACGTGGGTGTGGGGCAGATACAGTGCTGAGGTGGTGGGTGCTCTCTGTTGTGTGTCCCTGGGCATGGCCAGGGACCCATTGCACCCACTGCTGCCCTGCAACATGCCCTCCATGCCAGCGCCCACCTACACCCCCCAAGCACCCCAAGGACCACAGAGGAAGAGCAGATCCAAACCCATATGGTCCCACCAACCTCATACTGGTCACCAGCACAGAGCCGGGCAAAGCCTGCCAGTCCTGCAAGAGAAGGCAGAGGGGCGTCAGCAGGCAGCAGGCAGGCAGGCAGCGGGCCAGGGATGGAGCAGGATGCATTACCTTTCATCCGGACGTGGAACTCGCCCAGCTGGCTCTCCAGCTCATTCTCCAACAGACACATGTTCTGGGGACAGACAGATGGACAGCACCCATCAGCAGCCACACACGGGACCCAGCACCCTGCCAGCCCAGTCCAGACGGCTGCCTCACCTCTGTGTACTCCTTGTAGCCCTTGCTGGCCTCGGCCAGGCTCTCGCGTGCCTCCCGGCTGCCTGGTGAGCCTGTGCTATAAGCCTTGACCATGTTGTGGGCTCCATCGCGGAGCCGCCGCTGGATGCAATAAGCCTCGTAGAGCTCATCTATCTGCAAGGACAGGCCCAAGCTGTGGTGAGGGGCAGGGCAGGGGACAGCACAGCCATCCCAGTGCTGCACCGAGGTTGCCCCAAGGTGACCCCAGTCCTCAGCTCTCACCTTGCTAGCATGAAACTCCAGGCGACGCAGGAAGCGCTCAATTGACTTCACTTGCTGGAAAAGCAGAGGACATGGCATGAGTGGCAGCCCAACCGCTCCACAGAGGAGCTGCAGGTCAGGATGTGCCCTGCTGTATGCCTGTGCTGTAGCTGGGAGGGGTCCTGGTCACCAGCCCTGCCTGGGAAGTGCAGGGTGGCAGCCGGCAGTGAGTGGAGCAGAGACTGCACTTGCACCCACATGCTGCAGCATCTTCCAGCCTCCCCTGCTCTGGAGAGTCCCCCAGGACACAAGCCAGGCTCCAGGGCTCTCTTCTCCCAGCCTCAGGGCTAACCCAGGCTCAGCACTCACCAACAACAGCTTTTGTTTGCAAGAAGCAGGTTACAAGCCCCTGCCTGTCTCTGCTTCATCCCCTGCCCAGATCCAACCTGCCCGCAGAGCCCCAGTCCTACCCAACAGGGACTCTGCCGTGCAGGGGATGGGGGGCAGCCAGCAGGGCAGTGCAAGCAGAAAGGGGCTGGCAGTAGCACATCCCAGGTACTAGGAAGGGGGAGACAAGGGGGATGGGGTACTGATCCCGCTTACCTTATCCAGATCGTAGAGAAAGCCCTGGAGGAGAGAGGAGAGGGATAAGATGCAGCACAAAGCCAGCTCTGCCCACACAAGGAGACCCAGCACCTCGCACCCACCACCCATAGCACGGCAGCGGGGACACGCAGCACCCGTCCAGGGCTGGAGAGTGCATGACAGTAAGACAGGAGCCCTGTGCAGCCCAACACCAGAGCCCGGGCTGGCCCCTGACGTCCCCACAGATGCAGGTTCTGCCCTGGGACACAGATGGACCATGAGCTGCCCCAGCCATGCCCACAACCCCATCCGTCTGCCCAAAGCACCGCTCACCGCAAGGCTCTTCCCAAGCGACACTCACCAGGCGTGAATTCCTCTTGGACTCACGGATCTGGGTGCTGAGCTTCTCCAGTTCCAGCTGGTGTACCTCCAGGTAGGCTCTGGGTGCAATCACACCATGGGGGTCAGGCTGGGACGCCGTGTCCAGGGCTCCTGCCACCCTCAGACCACACCAACCCAGCACATCTGGCCCCACATCCCCACTCCCCGCTCCAGCACCCAGGCAAGGGAGACCACTTGTGCCTCTACATGGGACATGGTGGGATGTGGGACCCCATGCAGCTCCGGGACCCCCAGGCACTGGGCCTAGGAGACCTGTTATGTCCCTGCCTGGCAAGAGCAGAAGGCTGCCAACCCCAGCCCATGGCAAGCTGTCCCTGTGCCCCTCAGGGGCTCCCTGCCTCCAACCACCCAGCCACAGGGAGCCCCAGCACTTACGTCAGGCCCTTCTTGAGAGCTTCATACACCTCGTCCAGGCGGTTGGGCTGAGGCACCTTGGGTGGTGGAGATTTGTGGGACATTGAGAACATCCTACTGACCCTGGAGCCAGTCTTGCGGGAGACGGTGGGGGTGAAAGGTGAGAGGTTCCTGGGGAGAGAGGCAGGCAAACCCGGGACAGTCGGGGTCAGCATACAGCACTGGGGTCCACCTGGGTGCCCCAGCCTGCTGGGCACCCTGTCTCGAGACAAGAAGGAGCTCTGGGATGGAAGCCTGGTCCACCCGGACCTGCCTGCCTCCCCCA